GCAATAAGTTACAAGTACCTCAGATGAGCAGATGCATAACCTATGGCCAGCTGGTCGATTTATCCCACTCCTCCCCAAAACTGTTCTCTTTACCCAGCATTTTCTGTTCCTTGTATCCATCCATTTCTGTAGCCAGGAGTGTTTTATCCCTCTGCATCCTTCACAGCTAAAGGCTCTCTGCTGTCTTTCTCTCCATCCCCACTGAACTCCTCTTACTCTCTTAATTCTGAAGCAGCTTTGTCATTTGCAGTTCAATAATCTCATCTTCTCACAATTAAAAAAAAAAAAAAAAAAAAAAAAAAAAGAAGAAGAGAAAAGAAAGATGGAAGACCGAAAGAAAAGAGAGAAAGAGAAAGCTAAATTCTTTCTCAGAATAATTTTCTACTTTGGTTCTACTCCAGTGGTCCTACTCCAAATCCCAAAGACACGATGCCATGGGTTTCAGAAACAATGCCTTCCCAATGAGTTTGCARGATATTTTTAGAAAAGCAGCACTCTTTAAATGGCACATTCAGCCCRAGGCAGAGGAGGATCAGCACTACCTGGGCCTGCAGAGCTGGCCCAAAGCTCCTGCGTGGGAGGAACACGGGTGYCCTCTCAAACACCACGATTACAGAGCGGCTGAACCCCGTGGCTGTGCCTGAGCTGCACCCCCTGAGCTGGCAGAGCTGGAGCACCCAGCAGTGACAGCTGCAAGGTGACACACTGGCACTGGGCACATCAGCCTGCCCAGCTGCTCCTACAGAGGTGCAGGAAGGAAATCACAGCACGGATCATGCGATTCCTCAGCGCACACAATTTCTGTTCTGACATTCCTGTGGCTGTGGGCGGAAGATCCAAACAAAATGATGGTGCTGTTTCTTAGCAGCCGTATCATTTTAGTTGCTTGTGAACTCCTGGGTGCTTCTATTTCTCAACAGAAAATTGAGAAATTGTCTTCTGTGTCTCAGTAGAAATATTTTTACCTCTCTGTTAAAAACTGTGGAAGTTTTGTCTTGTGACCACAGCAAGCCAAAAAAAGCAGCACAACCACCACTGGGCTTCAGAGAATCATCCCAGTGATCARCTATCCTAAACAAAGCTGCAGATGCTAATCATCAGCTCAAAGCTTTAGCATATAATGAGATGTGCTGTACAGACAGTCAAATGAACAAAGACAGAAATTCACTAGCAATACATTTCACTCATATCCTTTATACAAGAAAAAGCAACTCCTAATTCTGTTTAAAGGATTCAGTGTTCTGAGGCAATTAATCTCATACTAACAAATGCWTATTCATCTCAATGAATACTACCTATGAACAGGGCTATGTCTGTGAACTTGCGCAGACCAAGGAATGAAATCTTTTGAGGATAATTATACTTTTGAGACAACTCAGTAGCTATTCTTTAAACTCCTCARCAACTCATTCCCATCCTTCTTTCCTCTGTCTCTTTTCCTCTTTGTTAGAATAACAAATTCAGCATCTTGTAGCCTGTTTCCTTATATTGAGGCTTCAGAGCTGCTCTCACAGTGTGATTGCCAATTGTCAGTGCAATTTGTCCACCCTTCTCAGGATAGGAACACAATTCATGTAGAAACAGATATATAAACCACCCAGTCAAAGCTTGAAGTTATTCCTAACACAAGCCTCCATCCCTCTGAAATTACTTTTTTTCCCAGTGCCAATAAGATTTAAAAGAGGGTTCAAAATCATTTGCTTTAATGCAGAAACATCATCATGCTTTGAGAAGTATGAGAAGACACCCTTGCATGAACAAGTAATTAATTCTTTAACTGGATGTTTTACATCAGCAAGGAAGAGGGAAAAGGTTCCCATCCACTGCACAAAAAATTCATTTCAATGTGTAAGTGAACTGGCTTAGATAGGAGAATGATATAGAAGCAGCAAGGAAAAATCAAAYGAGAAAAATCACAGGAGAAAGACACATGCAGAGGAAATTGGAAGCTCTAAAATACATTTCAAAATGCCATTTCAGTACTGGGTAAATGCAAAAAAGAGATGAGATGATGGCTTTTTGTATGTGCAATCAGATATACTTTTAAATAAATTACTTGGCCTTACCCAAGTATATAGAATAATCCAAAAAGGTTTTTCCTCTCATTAACATAATATTCAYATAAAGAAATTGTGTTTGTTGAACTCATTAGAATGTTTTTCTTTTCTTATAGTTATGAAACTCATTAGGTTTACAATCATTCACTGAAATTATTCCATACTCTGATGAATGYCCTATTACATATACTGAAGAATAATTCAATACTACTTGGGGCTCTGCAGTTTTACGGGCTCAGTCTTTGAGAATAATAAATTCTGCAGAAGCTCTACATGTGAAAGAAGATTTCTGCCTTCATTTGTGTTTGCCTATTTACTTAAACAACCTCATTCAGGCTCCTCTGAGGCTTTCCCAGGAGTACCATCTTAAGACGAAACTTTCCCCCCAACCATACTTGCTTTTAGTCTACAGAACTTCAAAGAGGTTTTTAGTGATACAGCAAAGTGATGTTGGTCTGAACTCTGGGTTCATCCCTTCTAGTTCACCAAAACAGAGTTATGTAAGTTCACAGCTAAAAAGATTATCCATCGAACTACTGAAGTTACACATGGATTACAAAATCAGGTTGTGCTAGTTCCGGGCAATTACTTTTTACATTTAATTTCTTGGTGTTTTGTTCCAGTTCACCTGCAATGTACTTTGTAACTCAGTAGGAGAAATTTCATTCTTAGGGCTTTTTCAATTTTTTTTTCTGCTTTTCCCCCCACATTTATTTGGTAGTTGGGGTTTTTTTTTCCTGGAAATGATCATCTAGATCTGTGACAAAATGAAGTGAGTGAGACAAGGTATCAAAGAGTTCTGGGACTAAAAGAAWCATACCTACAATAATTTCCACATATCATCTATGTCCAACTACTCTTTATTAATGCCCACACCATWTTCTGAACAAATTTAGGGATCCTTTACAAGAGAAAAGTAATGTTTTATCATTCATGGGTTGTTCAAAGTAACTTCTAAGAGTACTGGAAAAATGCCGTAAATGTATTCACAATTTCCCTGGTTTGTGCATTCAAAATATCTGCTTATCTTCCAAAGTAATATCTGGGCAAGATGGGCAAACATTTCACAACAAGGTTTCATTCASCTGGGTGCTCACTGTATCTATTGCTATTCCATAAATTTTAATACTAAGTTTTGTAGACAAGTCATTTGTACAATTTTCAGCTACTAAAAATGTGTTGAAGATGTAAGCAATTGTTTGCTATGTAAGTCCATAGGTCAAAGTGTAAATACAGGGTAAGATTTTTCACACTTTCCTCCCACACACTTTGTTTTCTCCCTGAYATCCAGAGATGAGGTGAAGCATAAAAATGCAGCACCTTCAGTATTTTGATAAGCTTTTTCTTAAATAGCTTCAAGTACTTTCCCTTCTATTTCTTTTATTTYTCTCTGGTTTAAATTTTTTGGTGGATAAGAGGTATCAAAAATGATGAAAAAGTAAGCATGAAGGAAATGCAAAGTGAAAGCAATGAAAACCCAAGTGATGCTCTGGCAACATCTAGAGGGTTAGSCCATACTGAGAAAGACAACTCAGATCTTCCTTCAGGCTAAAGAAGCTTTTTTTTCTTTAATTTGGGAMAAATAATTCAATTTCTTTGATTCAAATTCTCCATCTAAAAAGGGGTCAGATTTATAGCATCTARTAATTCTTAATAGTACTACACAACTAGAAAAAATATTCTATTCACAAACAGAAATATAGAGCAAATAGTTTAGCCAATTGATTGCAGCTGTTTGACACGAGAATATGTGGATGTTTAAAGGCAGCCATTGCATCATCCATTCATTCCTTCACCCGAGGAAGGGAGGTTTCTTCCACAAGCCTCTCTAAATCCAACAATGGATATGATGACACCATTATACACCAGAAAAAGTGCATCAGTCATGATGACTGCACCTTGTCCAGTTGTTGAGTGTTACAATAGGAGTAAAATCCAAGTGCTGGAAGACTGACACACACTCATTGTCTGCCCCATGAGAATTAATGTCTGGGGTGTTATGGGACCAAAGGTCACTATGCTAAGTCCTGCTCTCTGCCACTCCTATTACACCAAAATTTACCATTTTTACCCTCAACAGTTTGTTACTGTGGCTTTAGACCAATATTTATTTTTTTATAATGCACTCTCTTTCAMTGCTAAAGAAACGCAAACTCAACAAATGCATCTATGTAAAAAGAACCCCATAAAGATTATGTAATACACACCACATTCCAATCTGATAGAGGATTTCAGTCAGTCATAACACAGAAAATTTTTAATTACCATATTTCTATTTGCTTGCGCATGTGAAACACGAAGCTTTCTACAATCAAAAAGGAGTTCAAACCCTATGTGGAGACTGAGTCATCACTGCTGTTTTCAAATATATCAAAGATGTGCWGCAAGTCTTCTCCTGCAGGGCAGAAGTGCCAAGAGGACCTATAGTTCTTCTATTTTRTGTTAGAATGAAAAATATTTGTTTGAAGTACAATGAAACAAGTCACCCTAATTCAATTTCACAGGCATTCTTTTACCAGAAGTTTAAATGATTCCATCCTCGATTAGGGAACACATYGGTTCAGGACTGAGCTAAACACTTTTTAATAGCAAAACAGTCATGCTGAAAGATAACTCATCTGCCAAGGACCTGCTCAGAGACAAAAATAAAGGAAATAAATAAATGCATAAATGCTCTCTAACACTGAGGCCAGCTTTGCTTTGTGATGTATATGAACACCCTTTCTGAAAATAGATGCCGATGCCCTTGGCGGTGAGGTGAGCTAGAATCGAGTGGAAGAGAACTCCTGTCTCAGCACCAAGAAGCAATTTTCCTCGTTTGTTTTACCTGTTTTTATTTTAAAGACTCCAACAGAACAGCACTAAAGGGCTCAGAGCTACTAAAACTGAATTGACTGTGCACACATAGGGGAAGAAAAGAAAGGAAAAAAGCTTGGTCCCTACCRTCTCCCACAAACTGAAGGAGGGCGAGATCAATTTGTCTCTTCCAAGGTGATCCTTTCTGCAGAGCTATCCCATAGCCAGTGGTGGCAAAGATGTACCCRCTCCCTATTGTGACAAGTTTGCAGCCTTCATCTCTTCCAGCCTTGTAATTCAGCACCGCTGCATCATAGATGAAAGCATCCAACTTCCTGCAATAAAAGAAAACATTTTACAAACCAAATCATTAGGGACAGCTGTTGTCAGACTTCTTTTGTCCTTGATGTTAGGACCCTGTTGAATATCATATGGATTCTTTGATATCATTAATTACATATCCTGCTCTGCTGTATCTAAAATTAACAAAAGGCATCTATTTTAGTGAGGGGAAAAGTAGGACACATAGTTTTGCATTTCTATTTTTAAGGGATGCTGTTAAAAAATACTGAGCAGGAGAAACCAATCTACAAAATGTCTTGCCCTGATATCTTTGTATCTTTGCTCTCAAAATGGATAATAAATATCTTGAGATTCAGAATGGTTTCCAAAACCAACAGAAATTACAACAGAGAACTTAGAATTGAAACAACAATAAACAATTAGTTTATTTAAAATACTGAATGAGATTGCAACGTTCCCCAGTTTTACATACACACCTTTATTTTACTTCTCTTTCCAAAAATAAACAGTGAAGGTGRAGGTTAAGTCCTTGATAAGACAAAGGAAGCTACTGAAGCATATCTCATAGAGCTACCTGAACCCTACTTAAATATGACAGAAAACATTTCTTTATGATTCACAGTTCCAAATGCATTATTTGTGTGTGGAGCACAGTAGGAAGAAAGAAACCTGTGAAAAAGTTCAAGTCCTTTAGCCCATCTACCTAAAAATGTAAGAATGAGAAAATCCCATCCTCTAAAGAATACAGGGAACACAACAGGAGTGGAAAACAAAACCAGTGAAGAAAAGAAAAGAAGCAATGTCCTGGGGAGCCTGGGAACCACTCTGGTGGGCTGCAGCTGACAGAGCCTGGCACAGCACTGTCACCAACTCCTGGGGCCTGGCTTCATGGAAAGGCAGCCATAAAAATAAATGTATGTGGCACAGACAGGCACAAGAGCACCAACTTCAATTACATTATATCAGCATGCACTTGTGAATTCTGSGGCCATGAAGTTCTGGAGTCATACTTGTTACTAAGCTGATAACCGTTTATGCTGGAAAAGCTTTCCATTTATGCCCACAGGATAGTGTAAGACTTAGGCATATCCCAGCCCCAACAATCTTTCAGGCACATCATAATTCAAAGTTTACTCACAAATAATCAATCAACAGAACCCTAACTATTTCAGAAGTCTAAGTCGGATACCAAAAATGGGGCACTAAAGAATACTCTGACCTATCTCACATAAACCAACAGGAATACCAGGACCAAGTGAAATTATTGGATTTTGTCTGCTGTTGTGAAACAGTGAAGTTTTTGTCACTAATTACCACACTTTATTGCTTTCCTTGAGCAATATTTATCCCAACAGTCACCATTCAAGTCATCTAATTGAAATTTAGTGAAGTAAATTCAGAGTGGAGGTAGCTCATGCAACCATTAAAAGAAATTGTTGGGCCATCAGTTCTTTTGCTTTYCCATTCTTCCCTAAAACTCAGTTGGTTCAACCTTCAGTTTAAAAATTAGATTAGCTCCACCAGTGTTCAAAGTCTGGTTCACACCTTCCTTTAAGTGGATAATTTAACTTGCAGAAAATCACTAAACATCTGGCAGGCGATGTCACTAATTCAATCCATAAATAAAACATGGATGGCTACCTGGAAACAGCAAAGAGGATGCTGGGGCACTGYCCAAACCTGCAGTCCTCAAYRTAAGTTCAGAGTTTTCTAAATGATKGGCTTTGATTCAGCACTTCAGAGACAATCTCTGCTTGTATAGAGAGCAAAAACAAAAATCTATGTCCTTTGGGTAGACTCACAGTGGAAAAAAACCCACAAACCTGCTTGCTGTACCCTCAGGATATTGTAGCTTCTCTGATCTACARCAGACAATTACCAAAATCAATACAGCCCAACCCCAGACTTTGAGACCTCCACAGATATCTGAGGGGARGGGAGGACTCTGCCCCTCTCAGGGGATGTTCAGGGACTGGGAGGGGCTGCTCCTCTCCACTGCTGCAACCAGACAACTTAAAACATTCTAGAATTTGGCATCTGTTTATTCTGGGGTTTATAGTTTTGCAATGCAAGCACTTAAAACACATGCTGTTAAACACAGAGGAAATATAAAGAGTCAGCTATTCTTCTGTCAAAACAGGCTCAGTCAGAAATACAAAGGAAAAAGATCTCYTTTGCTAAAAACTCCAGGGCAAAAGCCGTGTGCTACCTCAGAAATCACGCTCTTCACATGCAGTTGGCCTCCTTAGCTACTGAGCACTGCAGTAAAACCTTGGGACAGGAAGACAAGACACAATCAGAGTTTCACTTGCTCACTGGGGAACACCTCCCCAGTTTCCCAGGAATCTGCCATCAGGGCAGTGCTTACACATGAAACAGCTTCTGAAGATGCAGTAGGCTTTACTTCTGAGRGCTTTTTCTATACTACTTCTATAAGGTCACTACAAATCCCATTACACAAATCAATTTAAAAACATGAGGTACTTTCCTGAATGATGCTGAGAGCTGAAGGTTCTGCTATCAGCCACTGCCCAATGTCTAAACTGTAAATCAAAAATTGATTGCCCTGAAAAACTCTTGGTGTCCACAAATACAAACTTATATTCAGAATATATTTTCTGCATTTCCAACGTAACTCTTATAACCTCTCAAGGCTTAATCATCTCTTCATCGAGTGCTGATTGCAGAAGCACTGTTCCTGCAAAGCTCCAGAACATGCTGTACCCCTGCAGCGTGGGCAGGGAGGAACAAGCCCCAACTGAAGCTCTCAGATTTTAGGGCACCCAACTCTTCCATCACTAGGAGGTGAATTTCTGGCATTCCAAATTTGTAAGAACTTCCACATTAACTATAAACATTTCTCAATTAGTGTTTCCAAAAATGGAGACAGCAAAATCTGGGCACATCAAAAAATGTGACCCAAGCTGGCAGCAAGATGAGCCCTGGAGGAAGACGAGGAAGGGATGGATGTGTGCAGGCCAGAAGGCTGCTGGGAACACAGAGGACTTTCCTTCCTGCCATGTCCATGTGGGGAAAGCCACAGCTGCTGTTTTGGTGGGCTCTGATGGAAAAGCCAGGCTGTGTGAGCAGTGGGGATGGCTGGACACAGGACACCTTGTCCTGTCATTCTGCACCAGGACTGGGGAGCCTCCAGCTCTCCCTGTTCTTTCCAAGCCCCAGGTCTTGTTTTTTTTTGTGGCAGCCAAGCCAAGCTGTGCTGCACAGCTGATGTTGAGGCTCCACTCAGTGCAGAACAGCACAGACCACGCACCCTGGGAGGCTCAGAGCCTCCTGCAAACCTCAGTCACCCACACATGAACCATTAACTGTGAGCTCAGTGCAGCCACTTCAGGCAGGGAAAAGCTCTGTCACATTGTGGAGGTTTAAATAAATTTAATATCAGAAAGCTGAGAGAGAATTGTCAAARCTGGAATGCCAGAGAAGGTTCCTGAACTAGTCAAACAGGCCAGGAACCTTCATCGAGTGCAGGGGAGCAGGGCTACAGCACTGTGATTCATCTGGGCAGGTTTGCAAACTTCCTCAGAACTACTGCAATAATCCTGGCTAGGAGGAAAAATAAACACTTTGGGATATTTATATAACCGTGACTACAAAGGCAAATGTCCTTCATCACCAAGGAAGCACCAAGAGGAAAGGGGGTGGGGAGAATTTTATCTCACAMAGCATCAGAGAACATCAGGTGTTATAAAATCATGAATTGGAATAGTTCTAGAAAAGCCCAAAAGGGCATTACTGAATGTAATAATTTGATGTGGGAGATCTGTGAAAAATAAGTGTGGACAGTCCCATAACTAAACATTTATGATTCATCAAGAAGGATAAGAGTTGAAAAATCAGAATAGCTATTGCAAAAACCCATTCTCAAGCATTGCTGCACACATACAAAATTGCCTGTGTACAGAAAATTTAAGTAAGATAAAAACGTACAGAAAACAATTTCAGAAAAGCTGAAAACTATGATTTTCCCCATCTTTATTATTGGCACAACTTTTCATAAAATTCCTATAATGARGACTGAAAAGGAGGAGTAGGAAAATGCTCCTTTACTGGTCACTTCTCCCTCAACAACAGAAGTAAAACTCAGTTGGAAAATGTTCCTTTGCTTCCTTAACCAACCACATGAACTTTCAGCAATTTTGTTCTCTTGATGGAATGAGAGATAAAAATCTATGATGCCAGTGTGCTCAGTACTTCTGGAGCCACAATGGTATTAAGCAAAATAAATAATGGTAACACTTAAGGCTGGATTAAATTTAAGCATGTATTTTAGAGATCATCAATAGCATTGCTGGGAAGGCAGCAAGTGCAAAAATACTGTGTGTAAGATTGGATGGATTTCCATTACAAACTTACATTTCATCCCTTCTTTCTCCAGAGAGGAGATAAAAGAAAGTATGTCAAGAGTGAACAATGAGGGACACGGCGTCATTTGTGTCCCTCTGTGTCCTGGGGATGCCGTGCTCAGAGGTCACTGTGGATGGCACAGCAATCAAAGGCAAAGAATGCTGCTCTGAAGATGAGGCTGCCATGGCAGTGCTCTGAAGTGACACTTTGATACTGCTGCAGCAAAAGCAGATATTGAACCTTTAGCATGAAGGACTGTTGATTTCTTTTASCCAGTTTTGACTAAAATGCATTTCAACTTATCTGATGCACTTCATCACCAGCAGTGACTTTATCTTTCAGTGCATATTCAAATGGCTCCTCACAGAAGTGAAGTTCATACTCACTGAATGGATTTCTTGACATCTCAGTATTGCCAGTTCATTAGGGGAGAATTGAGCAACCACCCCCTGCCACAACACAGGTCAGCAAAGAATAACATGGTTAAATGATGAACTCATGAGCAGGGAACGAGCTTTCAACTCTTCTCCCAGCTCAAACTACCCTCGCTTCTATCCTCACACAGAAAATGCAGACATAAAATTGGGAAGAGCAGCTTCTGACAGACATTAACACCACCATGAGAGATTGTGGATGCTTCACCTCGCCTGTCAGGGCACTCCCAGCT